GGGGGGGGGGGGGGGGGGGGTCTGGGGTATTCTCCCCCAGAAAATATTTGTATTTTTCTACCCCTATGAATGCAATTCCCTGCATTTTCTGAAACAGATTTTTGGATATACAGCATTACATTATGCTGTAGTAAGACTGAACCTTCAGTTAAGTACTTGCATAATATGTTTATAAATATGTAGATACCACAACTTGGCCGTCACTCAGGGAGCCTGCTTGATAAACTTAGAGGGCCCGACTCCCACGAAGTGCCACCATGGTTGGCACAGAGCGAAAAAATTTTGAGGGGGCCCTGTAACGGCCAACCCCAAACAGATAATTTAGTTAATCTGAAGAGCTGCTACACAAGCCATTATTTTTTTATTTAGATGCCAGTATAGAGATTTGTGTTGACAAAGAAAATGTTGTGCAAGCAATATACTTTCAAACAGAGGAAATGAGAAAATGAGCATACCGTCATGAGTGACGGTTGTGTATTTTCGAGCTCTAAATTTTGATTTATACTAAAGCTCAAACATATAATACACTCTACTTCAATTATGCCTGATACCATTACATCATTAAGAAAGGAAAACGATGCTTTAAAGCTTCAGATAAATTCTCTACAGCAGGACTTTGTGAAATTGCGAAATACGATTGAAAAACAAAGAGAAGCACCGAAGCAAGACGAAGCTAGTACAACAACTCGAGTTCAAATAACTGAATTTCAACATAGCCTTGAGTTTTTAAGTGCTAAATATGATACTCTGAGCACAGAAGAAGGGGCAGCGAAGAAAGAATTGCAGAAATTAAGCTCAAGGCTGTTGGAATTAGCGGCCAAAGTAGATCGAATCGACGACGCGCTTGAGCAGTTACAGCTATATAGCTACCAATACAACGTTAAAATCGTTGGCATTCCTCAACAAGAAGTAAAAGAATCGGCGTACGACACTAGTTTGCTCTGTGTAGATCTCTTCAAAAAAATCGGGGCCGACGTAAATCTTCAAGATATAGATATTGCACACCGTGTCCCAAGTAGAAGGAATAACGATACGTCCGCCCCCATTGTTTGCAAGTTTGTACGGCGAAACTCGAAAGAGAGTGTAATGAAGCACAAAAGAGAAACAAGTAAAGTAAGCCCATTAATCCGTATCTTCGATCATCTCACTCCCAAAAATCAACATATTTTGGTAGAAGCAAGGGCCTTTAAAGAGAAATTCTCTTACGAGTATTGTTGGACAAAGAACTCAACCGTTTATCTGAGAAAGAGTGCCACCTCGAGAGCAATCAGGATAAAAGAGTTTGGGGATCTTCAACGACTAGAGGAAGGAAATCATGTGTAAACATAAGCTAAGTAAATTGTTGTGTTTAAATTGCGTACAATGTCTGTGAATGATATAAGAAGCGCTCAATTAACTAAATTATTGCTTAAGGAATTGCCATTTTATAATATAAACATTACTTATGAGTCTAGCTTTAATAATAGTATAACTACAAATCTTCCAACATTGAAGGATCTTGACAAATACCCTAGTATGCGTGATCTGGGCTTATTCAATCTTAACACAGATTCTGATGTGACTGCTGATATCAATTCAAATTATGGGATCTCCCAATCTCAATATTATTCACCTCATAAATTTACAAGTCTTAAGTCCCAATTAAATTCTAATATAGATACGAGTTTCTCGTTGTTACATAACAATGTAAGGAGCTTGAGGCGCAACTTGGAAAATTTTCAAACTCACCTATTACAACAACTTGACTATAACTTTAGCGTTATAGGTATTTCCGAGACAAAAATTAGAGATGATAAATTTTCTGACTTTAATCCTGATATAGCAAACTATAGATTTGAATTTGTTCCAACACCATTAGCTTCTGGAGGTGTCGGACTGTATATCAGAAATGATTTATCTTATACAGTCCTTGAAAAATGTTCCAATTCAGCTTTTCAAGCACTTTGGGTTGAAATACACTTTACAAATAAAACTAGCATCATATGTGGTGTAGTATATAGACAGCATAATTCGCCGGAGAGATTTCAAACTTATTTTGAGGACACTCTTGACAAATTTAACTCCAGATCTTTTGGGCCAAATAGGGCTATTTACGTAATGGGCGATTTCAACATAAATCTCCTCAATGCTCAAACTTGTCAATATACTCAAAACTTCTTACTTACTCTCCAAAGCTATGCTTTAACACCTACCATTGATAAACCTACAAGAGTCTACAATCAATCTGCGACTCTAATTGACAATATTTTTGTCAATAAAATTGAAAACCCAATTCTAAGTGGGAATATTGTTTCTGACATAAGTGATCACTTTTCACAATTTTGTATCATACAATCCGATAAATACATAAATTATCAATACCAAACTAATGCCAAAATTCGTGATTACTCTAAATTTTCGGAGTCAAAATTCAATGACGACATATCACGAATTAACTGGTGTACTATCATCGCAAATAAAAAAGACAATATTGATAAACTTTTTATCACCTTTTACGATAAACTCAACAATGTAATCAACAAACACGCTCCCTTAAAACCAGTCTCAAATCGTATGAAAAAACAGTTCTCTAAGCCATGGATAACAAAAGGAATCAGGAGATCAATTAAAATAAAAAACAAACTATTTCACTCCACAAATAAAAATAAATATAAACTATACCGAAATAAGATAACAACCCTAACACGAATTAGTAAAAATTTATATTATAACCAATATTTCAACAACAACATAAAAAACATGAAAAAAAACTGGGAGGGCATAAATAGTCTAATCAATCGCTAGCCTGCTCGCAGGCCGTTGTCAGGCAGAGGCTGCACGAGGAACGGCCTGCGACCTTTATTAGTAAAAAGTCGATTTATGCGTACGGAGCGTACGCAAAATTCCCATTGGTCAGAAGTGCCCCATGAGTTAATATCGTGCAAATATTTAACTCGTACGACATTTCGCAATGTAATTTTAAAGCTGGCATTCAATCAATGGCGTATAAAACCATGACTTTGTTTATCTCTTCGAAGAAGTATTAAACTGAATGTATTTGAGAAACCTTTCAATTTAAATTAACGTTGAAGGATGAGCGAAGGTTAGCAATATTAACTGTACTTCCAACGGGATTTGATAAAAGTTTACATGTAATATACCGATACTTTGTCTTCGTCTGCTATAATAATAAACCTTTTCCAAAGAAGTACAAGGGAAAACTTCGATGTATGCCTTGCTGATCTTTGCAGAGAGAGTAAAATAAGGCTAGTTCAGGCTGACAATTTATCTAACTGCGTTTGCATCACTTGCGGTTTCAAACGTTGAAGTGAACAACTTAAGGTTAGCCCAGCGAGACGTTCGTTGAGTCGACACAGGCAGTGAATCAGCTAGTATAAAGCAGTTGATTGTCAAATGCCTCCGAACATTTCTCCCAAATACTTCCCTGTCAATCCCAAGGCTTTCTGCCTAAACAATCTGGTCTTGAATAAGTCAAGACAATGGGCAAATTATTAAAACAGACGCCGTCGAGGAAAGTCGTTCTTAGAACACCTGGCCAATTTGAATTTACACCTGGAAATTTTGCAATAGTCGTTTGCGTGTTTTTTGACCGAAGTCCACTCTCTCTTTGAGACTTTATTTTTGGGAGTCTCAACTAGTGACATATATTATTATAACAAGAGCTTTTTACAAAAAAATGTAGTTATTAAACACGGCAGAATCGATGCCACGGCCACGGGTTTTCAAATTGTCTATTGTCTATTGAGTTAATTGTATTATCAGTTGAGCAAATGACAGACTTCACGCAATAATGATTGTTGTTTTTTAGCCTGCTATTGTTCGACACTTTTAATAAATAGTGTTTGTTACTTTGTTCAAAACCTAAATACGTTTCCTTAAATCTTATATTTTGGATATAAATAGAGAGTAAAATTTTACGTCTCTGTAGTATAGTTACATAATTTAAAACGGCAATGTACGAACAAGACAGCAATATACAAACAGGACTATGTTTTAAATATTAGAACACTTTAGGGAAAAAACGACCATGAATTATTTTAGATTAAAGTTTAGACCTTGGAATCCTAGTGAAAAATACAGGCGTAAAATTGCGCGAGAAACTGTTTGTTGTTGTTAATAACCTCTGGTAATCTAATTAACAAAACTTGCTTTGATTGGCTATTATTTACCGGATATTCAATTATCTCAAAGGGGGCGTATTGAAAAAATATCAATAAAAGTCGCAGGCTCTATATAATAGAGCCTGTGAGCAGGCTAATCAATCGCAAGAGGAATAATCACAAAATGATTACTACAATCAAATGTCCAACAAGAAATGAAATTAATAGAAATCCTAGAGATATTCCCAATATCCTCAATAAACATTTTTCAACCATAGGACTCAATCTAGCTTCTAAATTACCCAATCCCTCAAAACATTTTAGCCAATATCTCGATACCACTAATTATTCTGGTTCTTTCTTCTTTAACCCCATTTCTCCACACGAAGTGGAATGTGAAATAAGTTCTATGTCTTGTGCGAAAGCTTATGGACTGTACTCTTGTCCTATACGAATTCTAAAGTATATAAAACACCAAATATCTTGGCCACTATCAGAAATAATGAATATATCTGTCGAAAAGGGAGTGTTTCCTTCAAAATTTAAACATGCTAAAGTTATTCCTATATTTAAAGATGATGATGAAACTGATCCGGGAAACTATAGACCAATCTCATTGCTTTCA